AAACAGTTATCCAGCTCGATAATTAGGGAGGGGAAAGGCAAACACAAACACACCCAGGTTGACATTCAAAACAAAGTGGAGATTTAACCACGGATTGTGCACTATACCACCCTAGTTCTTGTCTGCCCATCTGCCAGCAGAAAACCAGGGGCCAAGAAAAGAAGCACTGTTAGTAATTTATCAGTACAGCTGATGAAAAAAGCATCATGCTGGGTAGAAACGTGACGGTCTGAACTGGGGGCCCAGCTTTGGGTTGAAATGATGGCTTGATTTCCCTAAGTGTTTATTTGCCTCTGGTGTCCTTACTTGTGAAATGAGGAATTTGGGCAAGGTCTTCACTAAGTACCTTCTACCTCTAAAAGCCTTTGACTTTCCAATTTTTTTTGTTTCACTCATTAATGCACATATTTATGTATCTATTCAATAAATTGTAAACCTAACTATAAATGAGATATTGACAAGTCAACAAGTGAAATACAGCACAGTTAGCCTATCACAGTGGAAGAAATAGCATTTAGTATTGACCCTTCTCAGTTCCTAGGAGGTCAATGTTATTCCAACTTCTATTTTCTAAGTAAGAGATATATTGCTTTTCTCTCAAGGAAGAAAACAAAACAAAACATGCCAGATGTTTTTTCCAGATATGCTTCGAAGAAATCAAATGTAGTCAAATACTCTTTCTTAGTTGATTACTTAGCTTAGCATTTATCTCGTTTAATCCTCTCCTTCTGAGCCCCACCCTTGCCCCTTACTCACTCCATCCCACCCCCACTTCCACTGCTACTGTTTGGTTCCTTCTCCTTATTTTAATTCAACTCAACTCAACTAATTAAATTCAGCTCTCATTCATGGGGCCTTTCTTAGTACAAGGAACTTCCATGATGCAAGGATTATCTTCAAGGAGCTCCCAATCAATCGAGTAAGGGGGGAGACACACATGTAAAATAAGAAACATCGAGATAAAAATGTGTTTGGAGAGAGAGGCAGTGAAGCTCAATCAGTCAGGGAGGCCACAGAGCTCTGGTTAAACCAAGGGGGGCATTTGGTACTAGCAACCACCCCTCGTCTTTTCCAGGTTATCTGGAGGTCTAAACCCCTAAACGGAAGGTCCTTGCCATCCTTAGCTCCCATTTCTTTGTAAATATAAACGAACCCTGAAGAATTTGATATATTGCTGTTACTTGGAAGCTGTGTGATATTTTTATCTAAAGGATCAATATTGTGATGAAAAAGATTTGTCGGTGGAGTCTGAGATGTTAGCCTTCACTATGTGATGTATCGTCGGGCCAGTTTTTTAACCTCTAGGAGCTTCAGTTGTCTCAACTATAAAATGGGGACAACAGCCCTGTCATGGCGCTGTCCTGAGGGCAAAATCAGGTCTCGGGTGTATGTACCTTCTTCTTAGTATTAATCAACACTCTCTTCGCTTCCCTAACTCTGTCTAAACTGAAGGTGAATCCTGGGCAGAGCCGCCTCAGCCCTCTCTGGAAAGTTGTTCATATGCCATCCTTCATTTTAGTTGGTTTCAGTATGATAATCATCTCAACATTACTGAGACACAAGACAGGCGTATGGACAATTCCCCCTCCCCGCCCCCCCCCCCGCCCCCCCATTTAGCTTCCAACCCTATTACTGGCCTGAAAAAAAAAAAAAAAGAAAGAAAAAGGAAAACCTCTTTTAAAGCTAGATAGAAATGAACACAAATCTATGTAACTCTGAAGATACCATATCCACACCAATACAGAATCGCTCATGCCCACGAGAGGCTAGAAATGTGTCGCAGTCTGATTTAAATTCCCTTACCCTCTCTGTCTCCTTCTTCCTCCCCTTTTCCATTTTTGTCTGCTTATCCCCCTCATTTTCTCCCTTTCCCCTTCGCATGTCAAAAATGTCCATCAGTATCCAGGGAACTTCCTTTCTAGCAGACCCCATTTTCATGGAAGATGCCCACCAATCCCAGGAATCTGGGAGGAAGAACCCATTGTTTTGGGTGGTTAGAAGGATGGAAAGCTCTCACAGCTCTGAGTCTGCTTTGACCTCCAAAACGAAATCCAGTATGCATATATTCACTCGTATAATCATGAAGCCATATGTTTGTCGGCTAAATTCTTCAGAAAAAGAATCCATAAAACTCAATTATAATCTGCCAGAATTATGACAGAACCGGCTCAGACAGACGTGACTTGAGTACACTGAAGTCCAGTGCTTGATGTCCATATACATTAAATCATAAGAAGAGCACTGTGCTACTTGATTTGGATATCCCGGATTAATACACTGTACAGCTTATTGGGGACAGCTATTTTGCTCTCTTCCACAATAGAAATGACCAATTTGTGGCAAGAAAGATGGATGCATCCTACTGAGCAATCACTAGTCGAACGGCTTCTAACAAAGCTGTACAGTTAAAGCAATACTGGCTTAAGATTTGTCCACCTCCAGGACCTCCAAGTTTCACCAGAGATGCAGGATGATGGCGTTTGTCAGTGGTCAATAGAGAGTGTGAAACAGACACTCTGACACCAATGTCCCCAGGAGAATAGGTCTGCAGTGTTGTGGTGTGGGCGACACCCTCCCTGGCAGCTCTCTGGTTTCTCCTGTGCTCTGAGAACACACCCCGCAGAGTGCATTCATCACAATAGCCCATGTGTGACCTTTGGAAAAGTCCTTGAAAACAGTGAAACAGGAGTCTTAGTTGAAATCTGGAATCCATTCCAGTCTTACACAGGAAGAAAATTAGGCATAGAACAACAAAGCCCACAGTTCAGAGAAACCTGGGGAGGCTCTGGCTGACATTAAAATCACGGAAGATTTTTTTTTTCTCCATCACTTTGTATTTCCTAAAAGCTTTTCATCTGAGCAGTCCAAAGCTGCTAGAAAATACTGTACAGTTAGTAGATGGCAATAACTGGTTTCTCCAGTGAATAAAGCAAGTGGAATGAGAATAGAAATGCTGAGTAATGTATTAAAAGCCGATTACTAAACACTTTTCCAGGCTATTAAGTAAATGCTATTTCTCCAAAATGTAAGTGGCCAATACCCCCATTTTCCCCCTTGGAATAACGGATTGACAATAATGGTGTCAGGGGTGGGAGCCTGGGACAGAGAGAATAACTATGCTCCCTAAGCCCTAATTCCAAGATAGAGTTCATTAGCCCAGACATCATGGATCTGGAAATATTCATCCATCGACCCAGAGCATGAATCAGCAGAGTCGTGTGCTTGCTCAGTAAATTTAACTCGACAAACGTTTGTGGGGTCACATGATTTTATAGGTACAGACCAATTTCCTTTTGCCTCTAGCTGATATTATTCACAACAGTTGGCCATATCATATGTTTTTCTTTCATATATATAAATAATTATAAACCTGTACTCCCTTTGGAAACGTTCTCCTTCTTTGCCAGTAAGAAGAGGAGAGGTAGGACATTTCTGAATCAAGTGGTGGCATATAATCCCGTGAAAATCAATTGGCAGGGAAATTTGGTTTGGAACTGTGTGTAAGAATCCACCTAAAGTTTGTCTGGGAGGTCCCTCAAAAGGGATACAGACCCCAAACCAAACAAGATGATTCAGAAATAATCCAGCTGAGCATCTGATGCTCAGACCCAGAACACTTATTCATAAACATGAATAACTTAATTTTGTTTTTTTCTTAAGTACCTTAACAGTTAATTTTTTATTTTCCTTAAAAAAAAAAAAAAGTAAATGGCATTACTCTGGTCTCCAAAACAGATGCCAATTTGAACTTCACTCTGCCAGCAAGTATTTGGTTTGGCTCTGCAGGGCTTGAGTTGAAAAAATATTTGCCAATTCCAAAAAGATTTAACGAGCTTTGCTGAAGATGCCAGTGCCATCTGGCATGTCACAGGGACTGTGGCACGGCAAAGAGAACTCTCTTAACCACAGATTTTATTTGCCCAAGGTAGCCAACACTGGGAATTCAGGCGCTTCCTTGAATCAAGGAGCTGAAAGACAAATGAGTAAAATTTCCAAGAGAAAGTGACCAAAGCAGGCGTCAAAAAAACTTGCTGCCATTGAAAATGAAGTCAACTGGTTTTGGTGGCTGATTTTCAGAAGCGTCAATAACATCCTCATACCAGCCACCAGACACAGTCCCCAACGCTGTCAGTCAGGAAACCAAATAAATCCCCGAACTGTGGCAAAGCCACCCTCATCCAATATCAGATACTAACAACTTTGCTACAGTGTATTTTGTTGCCATCTGATACCTTACTAATTGTGGTGCCAGAATTTAAATACATGAAAACCCAACGACCTACTTCAAGTAACTCTACTAAATACAACCAGCAAATTTATTTTATATTGCAAAGATGGACATGCATTGCTTTTATTAATATTTAATAGGATATAATGCATAAATCTTTCACTGTGATGGGAAAGACTGAACTGACTGCACATAAATCTCAAATGTTAAAAGTCACTGAAGGTTGTCACCTGAAATCACGTATTTCAGTAAGAGGTGCAATTACCCTGCATGAAAACAAGGCTGTGATCCTTTGAATTAGTGTCACATCTGACAACTATAACAAAAAATGAAAAATATTTCCATGCTAGTGTGTGCTTAAAAATCACATGTCTGTTTTCACGGATATGGGGACAGGAAGAGTGACACTGACACTGTGACCACCTTGAAGAAGAGAAACTCTGGATTGTTTTTGTTAATTTCACATTATGAGAAAATGTACACCTACTTGGGTGTATCCCACCTGAACGCCTATGGATCTCCCCAAACTCCTAAATGTCCCTTTCACCGAAGCTGATCCAATGCTTATTACATGGTCATCTGATGCCAAGATTCAATAACAAATATCCTCAAAGATAGAGCCAAGTTCTGTACTGCCTTTCCACAGAAAAGACCTATTCACCGAAACGACGATGGAGCCGTCTACCTGACTCAACTGAAATTTGGAAGTCAGAGTAGAAATCAAAAGAAAAAGTCACAAAATAACAAAAGGATGATTATAATTGCTATTTACCATTTTGGCTTCTGAATGCATTGGCTGGACCTGGGGAGAAGCACAGGGGTTGCTGAGATTTGGACCTTGCATTCCCAGGAGGCTGGAGTTCACGGACATCTGTCTCTCCATCTAAGAGAAAGGAAAGCAACAGAATCAGAAGTCTACGAAAAGCAGTCTAGGTCACAGACAAAGCTGCATTTCTCTTTCAAGTGGGTCATTTAGAATTTCTTTGAATAACTCTGGAGAAAGACTGTGGTTTGGGGAAGGGTAAGTAACACACTTCTGAGCCTTGAACTCCAGGACATCAAAGAATTAATCCAAAGCCATGCATTCTATGGGAGATGCCCTGTGCCAACGAGAACCATGTTGTCATGGTACATTTGCAAACAAAAGTATGGAATATTTCCACTTTTGCAAACGCTCCAAACTGCCACGAGTCATGCTTCTTTTTATAACTGTAAAGAATAATGTATGCTTAAAAAATGCTGGAAGGATATATACCAAATGGTTCTCTCAGGTTATCCATGGCTTTTTTTCCCCCCTAAGTTTTATACAAAAACATGAATCATTTTAGCAATAAGGAAAACATTAAATTAACTTAAAAAAGTAATGCTCTCAAATATGCTGGGTCTTCTTGCCACTGTAACTTATAAACACAATCAAGATGACCAAGAGCGGGGCGCTGGGTGGCTCAGTCGGTTTCACGTCTGCCTTCGGCTCAGGTCATGATCCCAGGGTCCTGGGATCGAGCCCCGCATCGGGCTCCCTACTCGCCTGGAAGCCTGCTTCTCCCTCTCCCACTCCCCCTGCTTGTGTCTCCTGCTATCTCTCTCTGTCAAATAAATAAAATCTTAAAAAAAAAAAAAAGATGACCAAGAGGTATTTGAGCTGCCGCCCCTGGTAGAGCTCCCCTTCCCAGTTAACCTAGTCAGGATACTACACAGCAGCAGGTTTTGGCCTCACGGCAGGGCTAGACCTTTGGCGGGGTGAAGAAAGCAGGTGGGGGTACCGTACCACACCTGATGGACACTGTCCTGCTGGCCTGCCACTGTGTCTAGAATTAACATCATTTCAAATAGCTGCATGAGTTCTGGCATTTTTGTCTCTAGGGTGTCCCTGTTAAAAAGGAAATACAGAAAAACCTCTCTTTCAATCAAGGAAGGGTATGTGTGATTGATATTTTCTGTTGAGTAGAAATTTAGCACGTTCCAAAGAACTAGAATAAAGCAAGTACACTTAATAGTAAATCACACAGAAGACTTTCGTCAAGAGGAAAAAATAAATTCTTCAATGCAAAAGTTGATCCCCTTGATGAAGGATGGAAATGAAAACGGGTCAGAAACTTGAGGGAATCTGCTTTCCGCTCAAAGTTAGCCTGGGGAGTCTGAGGAGAAAAATACAGAGTTCTTTATCACTGGAGCTCTTCCCAGAGCGGAGGACAGAAACCTCACTGGCAAAAATGGAGAGGGAAAGCCGAGGTAAATGTCCCTTTAGGGTCCCTGCCATGGTCGGGTTCCATCCCTGCACCCCTGCTGGGTCCACCCCAGGTGCGGGGCTGCAATTATGACATTAATGTGTGGGTTAGCAGCGGTGCTCATGAAATGACACGAATGACGGGTGGACGGTCCCTGTCATAGCAAAGCACCCTCGGCCGTCCCTTAGCCTAAAAGAGTATGTTTGTGTGAAACTGCTTCAAAAGGAGCCGTTTGATGAAGAATCTTCTATACAGTCTAGAGCCTGCTGGCAACGACTTTTGGGGCCTTATCAATTCAGGAAAATAAAATGCTCACTCCCATATACCCCCTGAGTCTCCAGGTAGCCTAGGTATTTTATTTTTTATTATTGTTTTGTAATTCTGGTAAAATACGCATGTCATAAAATTTACCACTGTAACTAGGTTTCCGTGTACAGTTCAGCATTATTAAGTACGTCCATGTACTCTAATTGTTAAGTCATGAAGCCTGCGCCACAAAATGCTTATTGCTTGTAATTCCCCCTTCCAGAGGCTGGGAGATGGAAGAGTTGGAAAGGCATTTGGCCCTTTATTCCAACTGGTAGGTAACCTTCTCCTAGAGGGAAATCAAGTCCAAATGAGCTTTTGCTTTCAGTTTCCTGAAGGAAGGTCATTGAGAAGTACAAATGATTATCTGAAAGTTTCCACGCTGTTATCCATCATGAGCTACAAAGAAGGGCGAGCGGCTTACTTGCAGCCTCGGGATCCAAAATCAGCCATGCTGCCCACTCTGTGGAAAAGTTACAGTCTGTGACTACTCCTACTCCATGACTCACAAATTCAACAGAATGTTGAAAACAGGCTGATTTCTCTACTTTAAAAAAATTACATTTTTTCCATCTTAGTGATTGTAAGGGGTCAGCAAGCGCCTCAGCAAGGCAACGATTTGGTGCTTATACTAATAAGGTTCTGCCCGAGTGTGCTTTGGTGAGGTGCCTAGAATTAAGAAGTCAGATGATTGAAGTGGTTTTGCTGAATACTAAGCAACATTTAGCACGGCAGGTGAAACATCCAGGTAAAGGATTTCACCTTTTTTTGAGCTTCTCCTTTCCTTCTGAAACAAATCAGGAAACGGGAGTTAAAATCTCTACAGCTCACTGGGTTTTTGAATTATAAATGAGTGTTCATATTCCCAAATTTTGTGAACATTTGACTTTCAAGATAGGAAATCACACCACCATGAAATCCTTCCTTGTTGTTCACCACATCCCCAACATCCAGCGCAGTGCTTGGCTCATAGCAGGTGCTCAACAAAAGCTTGTGGAATGAACAAATACATCATTTTGCTTCAGACCTAGGACCTTGTGAAATGTGTGGCCAGGCAGCATGCACTGCAAATCAGTTAAGGATATTACCTACACCTACAGACAGACTGATCTTTTATACCAAGGGAATCATGGTTCCCTAGGGCGGGAACTCTATGGGACAACTATGCTTAAAATGCCAGAATCTGAGCATAGGAGCAGGAGACTTGATAACAAGGATGAAAAGGCCTAGATTTCTGGGACCAGGAACTCTTAGGGTATCTTTTTTTTTTTTTTTTTTTTGGAGATTTTACGATAGTTTTCATGAGTTACATTCGTGGCACTTTAAACCAAGGTTTCTCAACCTCAGCACTGCTGACATCTAGGGCCCAAATGATTCGTTTCTGGTGGGGGCTATCCTGCACATTATAGAATGCTGAACAGCTTCCTTGGCCTCTACCCACCGAGGCCAGCAGCAGCCTTCCCTCAGCTTTGACAACCAACAGCAGTATCTCCAGATAGTGCCAAACAATCGCCCCGAGTTGGAATCAGTGCTCTTAGACTGACACTTGTCACGGCAGCTGTGCATATCAGTGACATGGGTTGGGGAACTCCTGTGGGGGTGGCATCCCTGACTTTCTGTCTACACTGGCTCTTGATCATGTACCTGATCCTTTACTTCTATTCTGAAGCATCAACAGGAGGCCAAGTTGTACAATGAGATGAGATGGTGGAAACCAGCACCAGATACTTTTTTGCCAGGCCGTCTCAGCCCGTGTCCCAACTTTGTCCCTGGAAATGGTACAATTAGATGGGAAAAAAAAAAAGGCACTGAAATGGTATTTTTCTGGCTAGTGGATAGAATTTATGAAAGGACACTCATTTTGGACCAGAGGGATGTAGCGTCTAAAGGAAGACAGCTTATGGTGGGAGTCTTCGTGCGCCTGGCTGGGTTGAATAAAACCTGGGCAAGGGGCGTTGGTGACAGCACTGTCATAGCTCGTCTGAAGATGTTTAAGGTGAGCAAGGCAGGGAAAGTGTGTCAACTCATCTGTTCCTTCTGGCCCGATTTTGCAAACACTGTTTCCAGCCAGGACTGTTTCTGCCACTATTTATAGCAGGTGGGTCCATTTCTCTGAACTTGGGCCTCCCAGCCCTCATCCACCCCTGCCTCCACTCAGAAAAATCGGCAAACTGCTCAAACTTCGAGAATCTGAGCTGCTCAGTGTGAGTTGAGGTGGGGTTTGTCACAGCTGTGGGCCATTAGACAGCTGCCTTCAACTTCTTACTCTTCAGCTTTTCATCTGTAAAATGAGCGTGTCAATAATTACCGGGATTCCATTCGCACAGGATCCCGATGAGAGCGACACGAAGTGACAAATGTAGACAATCCCTTAAAAAGCGAAAATGCTCCGCCAGGCATTGTTGATACTGTTGTGGGAGGGTTTTCATTGAATTGTCATATCATCTCTTAGGACTTCTGAGAACAACTGTGGCCCCAAGAATAAGGTCACCAGCCAGGCTCCCGAAAGCACAGGCCAGGGAGGATGAAGAAGCACAGGGAGGGGATCCTGTGGAAGAAGAGCAAAGTTTGCTCTGGAATACTCTGTATGTCCCTTCTAGGCTAATGTGTTGTTTTCAGAGAGGGGGGCTGTATTACATAATGATTAGAATGTAGACTCTTGAGTCCTGCCACCTGGATATAAATCCTTACGCTCCATCACCTACTAACTGTGACCTTAGCTAAGTTACTCGGCCTCCTGTGCCTCAGCTTCCTCGTCTGTAAAATGGGGGTAAAAACAGTGTATCCCTCACAGGTTTGTTGTGGCAGTGAAAGCAGAGAATACAGTGGTATCACACAGTGGCTGACCAAGTGGGCTCTGGAGCCAGAATTCCTGGGTTCAGAACTCAGCTATGCTGCTTCTCAGCCAAGCAAGCTACCTGCCGTACTTCTCCCATTCAAACCAGGGGGAAGAAATAGCACGTGCCTGACAGGATTGTTTCACATGTTGAGGAAGTGCTTACAGAGGGACTAGCACATGGTAAGCACTCAATAAACGTTGTGAGCCTAGCACATGGTAAGCACTCAATAAACGTTGTGAGCATGATTAACAGACTCTGATACGCAGGGACACATATTAGCAGATATTCTGTACCATTGTTATTATTTTTGTTGTTATATTTGTCACCCTGAGTCCTGGCAAGACCACTCCCTGGTGAGTTAAGGACACTCGGTATATAGCCCACGCTATACAGACTTTGGGCTAGTCGAAAAACACTGTGTCCTTGAACAAATTCCATTCCCTGGGTGTGGCAAGCTCACTTGTCACCGGCAGGAAGATGGGGTCAGGCCTCACTAAGGGAGCACTGAAGGCCGGGAAAGCCAGCCAGACGCCTAGGGACAGACAACCGAGTGCTCTCTGCAAAGTAGCACACAGCTCAGCTTTTCATCCAGAAGAAGGTGCTTTCTTTCCAGCTTAGATCTCAGCTTTTCTTTTACTGTTTTCAAAAGAGCAAGGCTCAGTGGAAGGGAGAAGCACTTACTGGCATCAAGACGGCAGAAGATCCCGGCATCGTCGGGTTGGGCAGGGTCCCAGGCATGGAGGCTGGCATGGGCTGTCTCTGTCTGTTGTGGAGATGTAGCAGAGAAGATAGAGAGCCTGGGACAGGCCTGGCAACACACAGAGAAAGCAAACATTATTCCTGATGCCCGGGGGCAGGGGGTTCACTGCCTGCTTCCCCACGTCCGGAACCAGCGGGGACAACACCGTTACAGAGCACAGATCAGATCCTCTGATGGGAATCACATAATTGAGGATATTAGGGAAATAATAACAAATCAAACACAAGCCTGGCTTCCTCTGCTGCTTCCTAGTTAATATATCAAATTCCACTTCATTTCCTGACCTCTGTTATCTAACTCATGTTCAATAGTCAACAAGCCGGTAAATCTCCTATGACCCCTACATCTTAGGGAAGGGACTTGGGGGTGAAATCCTGTGTTTACTCAGAATTCTCTGCCCTGTGGAGGATCTTAGACCCAGAGATCTGTGTACGTTTGTTTCATCCGCACTCTCCTATGCCTCTGCCTGGAAGCCCTCCTGGCTTTATTCTGGATACACGTTCACCGTCTGGATTCGTAAAGCCAACTTTATTCATGAATTCCCAATAGAAATCTGTTTTGACTTTTTCATAGTTCTCCACTATGGGTGGAAACAAACAAACAAACAAACAAACAAACAACAAAACACAAAGCCAGGACACAGACCACAGCAGCAGGAATGAGGCTCATGCCACGGCAGCCAGCCTTTCTCAAGCAAGTCCAGAGCCCAGCCCCCAATTACCAGTCCCTCATTTTATAATAACTAGAGGTGTTAGGCTGTTTGACAGAAACTGATTTTGGCCTGACCTGCAGAACTTGGGTAAGCATTCCTCCGGGGAGTGCATAGTTTGAGCTTTTGCTTAAATTTGCCAGAGGAAAAAAAAATTTTTTAGGACTTTAAATTGATTTAATGAGCCAGGGAATGTGTGGCTGAGGGAAAAAGGAAATTATTTGTGTTTATGAAAAATGGCAAATAAGCGACCTCCTCAGCTAAATTCTCAATCTCCTGATGCTTTTGCTCTGGGGAGCTGTATAAATGTCAAACCATTAAATTAAAGATTTAACAAATAAAACAAAACAAATAAATAAACACATCCCCTCCCCCCCAGCAGGGACCTCTGAGTCTTCCATGTTAAACTACCTTATCCTGAATGCCATAAATGAAGTTACTGCTTCCAGAATTAATGCATTTTCTTTAAAAAAAAAAAAAAAGAGAGAGAGAGATTCCTTCATGCTAAGTGCTGGGTAATGATTGCAGACAGAAATGTCCTGTGTGGTCCAATGCTTTTCTATGCTTCGGGGAAGGATAGTCCCATCCAGAGTAGCATGAGAAGCCTCTTCTTTGGAGCTGTGTGCCTCCCGTGACTGACTTGAGGAGAAAGTGGGGATTGAAACAGGGAGAACAATGCCAACATGCTCTCTTGCATTGTTGTTGAAATCTCAAAGATTAGGTTTTCTACCCTTTTTGCCTAACAGCTCCTTTGGGCAGAGCTAGCTATCGCAGGCATATGAATATTAGGAGGATTAATCATAAATTAGTCAATATTTATATGTTCAGGAAGTTATATAAATGAAAATATAAAAGAATATAAAACTTTTACCCAGACTCCATGTAGATGCCCACAAATGACATCCAGCTTTATGAATAGAATGTGTGTATGAATAGTTACATGGAGAGGCCAACAGAAGTAGCCTGTAACAATAAAAAGTGTTTTCAGAAAAGCAAATGCGTGTTATGGGTATTTCTTGACATGTGCCCTGGGGCCCTCTGGAGTATAGATTAACAATAGGATTAGTAGGGTCTTTGAAGGTCCTTCACCTTTTACAGTTCTAGGAAACTGCTAGTTTCCGTTTGCTCCAAAATTCTAGAGTAGGTTGTACTTCACTGGGTCTTAAAGCCTACCTCATTCAGAGGTGGATGGCTCCAGTCAGATAGGTATAAATGTGGTTCTGTCAACAGACAAGGTTTGCTTTATATTCTCCAGTCTTAATGTTTTGTTTGTGACCTTTGCTGGGAAGAAAATAGCTGTATGTCATCTTTAATAATGGTCAGTTCCTCCAAGTGCAAGGTTAGTAATCTGAACTGCCCTGTTTTATAAGGAGAAAGATTCACTGAGACCATCACCACAGAAAGCTGTTAGTCATCTATCCATCCACTCATCTACAGATATCCAGACAGAGACATGTACACACATACATCCATACATCCATGCATTCATATAGATACATCTAAACATACATACATACAACCTTCTACCATATGCCTTTTCCCCTAGTCACCAGGAGGAATGCTTTGGGTATAGATAGGGACAAGTGAAAAAAGACAACTGAAAACATTTTATAACGATGACTGGCCATATCATCCTCCTAAAGAAAGGGCAGCATGTTATCATCATTTACATTTTGTTTCCAACATGACATATTAATGATAATCTTGGTGATCAGTTTCTATTGATGAGTCATTTTTAGAAAGGAAATCAATTAAACAATGCTTATGTGAATGGAGATGCAAAAGTAATCAAATTTAAAATGAGTTTTCATTCTTCATACAACTAGGGAAAATTCCCAGCTGGATAGAGTAGCTAGGGAATGGTATGCTTCATTTAATCAATGTTCTTATTAGGTCAGTTACTTCCACACCATGCATAGATGTACCGGATTTTTAAATATAAAGCATTCCTTCATTAATTAAGAAAGCTTTTCAGGGTACTGAGTTCCCTTGGAATTATAATAATTGCCTAATGATAGCAATCAAACCAATTAACAATATATACTTGAAAGAGAGATGGCTATTTGAGAACTATGCATGTTTGGATTCTGAATAACTTTGAATTATTGTTTTACACAGAATCTACATTTATTTCTTTGAGAGAGAGAGAGTGCACGCACACACATGCACACATGTGCACATGCAGGAGGGAGGGGCAGAGGGAGAGGGAGAGAGAATCTTAAGCAGGCCCCACACCCAGTGTGGAGCCTGACACAGGGCTTAATCTAAGAACCCTGAGATCATGACCTGAGCCAAAATCAAGAGTTGGACACTTAACTGACAGAGCCACCCAGGCACCCCTATACAGATTCTATAAATAATTTTCCCGACCCATGCTGGGAACAAAACTGCGGCATTTTCTATGCTTCTTGTTTGGGCTTTTAAAACTACAAAAACTGAAAGAAAAAAAAATCTACTCCTACTCATCGCAGGGTATACAAAGGGTTAGATTGAGGTAATTATGTAGCTTGGCCCAATAAATAATCATTTGTCCAGAATATTCTGATCATTGAAGCAAGAGTGGTATCGGAATAATTACATTAATTATCTAATTCCCTTTGTGTATATAGAAATAATTATTAACACATTGCACTTGCTTGAAACTTTTTATATTACAATTATACAGTTTCATATTTTTCAAAATATTTCACCTTCATGTGACTTGAAGCAATGCCATGTGTTGGGTAGGTCAGATTACCCCCATTTTACTCAGAGTAAGCTGAATTCAGAAACATTTAAATGTGCCCAAGATCATATGGGTCATGAAAAGAAGCACGGCTCATATTCAACTTGCAACACAGGGCTTCCCCCATCATTCCTTGATGGCTCCCATAACTAAGTTATTATTGATTTTTTATACCAAAATAAATTCACGGTCTATTTCCTTTGATATCCACACTGCTCCCTGGACTTGGCAATGAAGCAGTAAAATTCTGCAGTACTGCTAACACGAGAAGTCTCTCATCCATGTGAAATTATGTTTTCTTCCTTTAAAAAAAAAAAACACCAAAAACTTCCCAAACAACACATCAGTTAGACTCTGAAAATAAGATGGCAAATCACAGCAAAGTTGTGAAAACAAAGACCCAACAGTCTTTCTCCAGTGCAGGCTTGTTGCCATGAGCTAATAATTCCAGACTTTGAGCAAGCCGAGCCTCCTTTTTAATAACCATATGCCTCTAGGTAAAGTATTTCTACTAAAAATTATTGAGGCATGGAACAAGGTAAGATGTGTGAGCTCATGTTGGATTGTTCAATTACTAAACTGAGTCCCGTAGCATTAAGAGTTTCCCAACTTGACAGATTATTCCTCTTTATACACTTGTATAAACATACTGCTTACGGCTGAAATCTATGTAAGCTTTTCTTTCAATTAAAATGTCAAGGATGACAGACTGTGTTTTCAGTGTCCTTAACAGAATGAAAGGTACCACAGCGAGCGATTTTATGTCCTCATTTTTACCCCCAAAGGATGTTTTCCAGTCTAGGGGTGTCTGAAAAGCAAGCTCTGTGTCTGCCACTCTTTGCCCTTGGACAAGCCCAACTATCTTTTAAGGAGTGAGGGGCCAGTGATTTTGTTTGGAAGTCTCAGGAGGGTCACTGCAGACTGCTCTCCTTTCCCAGGTCTTCAAAAGATCCATGGCACCCCGGATTGCCTATTTAACTCAAGACAGATACATCTGCCAGGTACGTGGTCAGGTAAAGAGAAGAAGCAAGCAGTGAAAAAAAATTAGGTTAAAGAATTGGAAGATCAATGTTAGCATCAAAATCCAACCACAGACATCTAAGAAATCGTGAGCAGGTAATAAATAACAAAAAGGACTCGGAAGGACTTGGTGTGTGCAGAATAATATGAAAAGCTTCAAAGCAATAAAATGGAAAGAAGAGTGGGCAGGGAGCAGAGGATCCAGATACCACTGCGATTAGAGTTTCTGACTCTGGGGGAGAGACTTTCTTCACTTTGGGGCTCTCCATTTCATCATCTGTTTAATGAATGGATCAGACTATAGGCCATCTGGAAATGCCCTGAAGCTCTAAAATTCAGATTCTAGAACTTGAAAATGAGATGTTTGTAACCTCATGAGACTGTATGTTCTATTATGATTGGGGTATTCTTCATGGCTCATTGATGAATCCACAGTGCTTCACCCAGCACCTGCAACATGGTAGGAGGTCAGTGTCTGTACTGAATGGAACGGAGTCAGTACAGTACTTAGTTCTTAATGTCAAAAATACACTTGAAATATGAATAAACCACAAATAGAAAGTGTCTCTAAAAAGCAAGAGAAGTTGCTAAAAA